GGGAAGGCTGGCTCTATCATAGGCTGCAAACAGAATTATTTTTGGAGTTATAGTGGAGAGTAGGACCCTGGAACTGTTAACCATTTTGGATCATATGTCCCCCCCCTCTCCACCATCAGCTGGACAGACAGCGGAGCTCCTTCTCTACAGACTGATCCAGCTCCGCTGTCACGAGGACCGATACAGGAAATCTTTCAAGACCCCCCTCTGGCTGGCAGGGAACTCCCTGCTCTTTAGTTTGCTAAGTTTCTCCATCTCTATAATATTGAACAATTTGCACATATTGTATACCTCACAGGATCTACATTTTAATTTAAGTTAAAAAAAGCAACTTTCCACAATTTCTAATAAATATCTATAGATATTCCCTATGACTGTTTGTTTCTATGGTAGATTGATCTATTATAGAAAAATTACATATAATTAGTATATTTTATAATGCGTATTATTTTAATCCTTTATAGATATATATTGTTTATATTGTGGACTGTATATATATATATATATATGTTTTTTTTTACTGTATGCTTTTGTTTTTTTATTTTATTTGTTAAATATTTTAACTTGGGTGATGACTTTTACCAACGCTGCTGCTACAATTTCCTAATTTGGAATGAACATTCATCTATCTATTTATTTTTATTTACGAATAAAAACATAGGTTTAATCTGGATAGTTATGTGTTCACGTACAGAGCTTTGTTGGAGGCTTTGACCACTGGCAGCAGCCTCAGAAGAGCCTCCTCTGAAGCAGAGTATTTCTTCAGGTCAATGACGTCCAGATCTTCTCCTGATGACAGTAAGATGAAGACCAGAGCTGACCACTGAGCAGGAGACAGATTCTCTTCAGAGAGACTTCCTGAACTCAGGGACTGTTGGATCTGCTCCACTAGAGAACGATCATTCAGTTCATTCAGACAGTGGAACAGGTTGATGCTTCTCTCTGGAGACAGATCCTCTTCTATCTTCATCTTGATGTACTGGACTGTTTTCTCTTCAGTCCCTGAGTAACTTCCTGTCTGTGTCAGCAGACCTCGTAGGAGTTTCTGATTGGTCTGCAGTGAAAGACCCAGGAGGAAGCGGAGGAACAAGTCCAGGTGTCCGTTTGGACTCTGTAAGGCCTGGTCCACAGCTCTCTGGTAGATATATGCTGGTGTAGGTTTCACCTCATACTGCTTGGTTGTTGGTTCTTTTGCGTTGATGAAGGTCAGATGGACATGAAGAGCAGCCAGAAACTCCTGAACGCTCAGATGGACGAAGCAGAACACCTGGTCCTGGTACAGTCCTCTCTCCTCTCTAAAGACCTGTGTGAACACTCCTGAGTACACTGAGGCTGCTCTGATATCGATGCCACACTCTGTCAGGTCGGACTCATAGAAGATCAGGTTGCCTTTCAGCAGCTGCTCAAAAGCCAGTTTCCCCAGAGCCTCCATCATCTTCCTGCTCTCTGGACTCCAGTGTGGATCTGTCTCAGCTCCTCCATCATACTTGATGTTCTTCACTTTGGACTGAACCACCAGGAAGTGGATGTACATCTCAGTCAGGGTCTTGGGCAGCTCTCCTCCCTCTCTGGTTTTCAGCACCTCCTCCAGAACTGAAGCAGAGATCCAGCAGAAGACTGGGATGTGGCACATGATGTGGAGGCTTCGTGAGGTCTTGATGTGGGAGATGATGGTGCTGGCCTGCTCCTGATCTCTGAATCTCTTCCTGAAGTACTCCTCCTTCTGTGGGTCAGTGAACCCTCGGACCTCTGTCACCATGTCCACACACTCAGGAGGGATCTGATTGGCTGCTCCAGGTCGTGTGGTTATCCAGAGGCGAGCAGAGGGAAGCAGCTTCCCCCTGATGAGGTTTGTCAGCAGCAGCCGATCCACTGAGGTGGACTCTGTGACATCAGTCAGGATCTCAGTGTTGAGGAAGTCCAGAGGAAGTCGACTCTCATCCAGACCGTCAAAGATGAACACAACCGGGAACTGATCAAACCTGCAGATTCCTGCGTCTCTGGTTTCAGAGAAGAAGTGATGAACAAGTTCCACCAAGCTGTACTTGTTCTCTCTCACCACA